ACGCATATTAAATTCTTAGTTTAAAATGTGTGTGTGTGTACGCGCGCTGGTTGGAGTAATTATTTTAAAGTTATAGTTATTAGAACAACACAAAGTCCTCGTGGCAGTTTTGTTTCCATTTTGTTATGCTAAATTTCAAAGCAACTTCTTTCGGAGCGTTTCAAACCCATAACGTTGTGTTTATGGAAAGACGGCAACTAATGACTCAACCAAGTGTTTCATATTATTTAACAGTATGATTCCGTTTTCCGCTTTGTAGTTTAAACTTTGAAAAATATAATGAAAGTTTTATGTTCATACACAAGAATGAATGAAGCTTAGAACAATAATATCCATAATATTACTGCTGTATTCATATGCAATCGCCACTTTATAAATAGCAGTTGATATAACTCTAGGCTAAAATAATCCTGACCTTTGGCTGGGATTTGTATTCTTTAAATATTAGGCAAAGGTATACCCCCTACCTTCCTCAAGCACTACCTCTCCCTCTGGAGGGAGCTGGGTTTATTGCCCAGTGACTGTGGCGCCCTCAGAAAGAAAAGTGCCGAGGGGACTTGAGATTTTTTTTGCAATTCATGGTCGTTAAACACATTTTGAACCACGACCTTGTGTCTCTTCTGTTTGCGGCGTGGGAACCCTGGTACCTAAACCTAAACTTGAAGACTAAACTACTAGTGAAATAGTATTGAATACTTTTTAACTAATTATAGTTTAAACAATTACTGCTGATGACATCGGCCTGTGAAGGCGATTCCAGCATGCGGCATCTTTGGAAAATGCCTGAAAACCATACGTCGGATTAACCCAAGTCTTTTGAGTCATATTAGTTAGGACCTATCGATGGTTGTGACAGCACGAAGTCACAATTCATCGTGAGTTAGTGTTTGAGCGTACCGTTCTTGTTCAGTCTGATGATGACGCCGGATAATGCTCTCTATACCAGAAAAGTGTAACTAAGGTCTGCTCAGCATATTTGCAGTATAAATTACAGGTGGGATCTGTCGGTGTTAAACAAACATAGATACGCTTGATTAGGCATACACGGATACGAACGGCCAGCCACCACCACTAGTGATGTCAGTGGCTACCGTTTGAAATGATATCAAGTCATCACAATATCTCAAGAAATTTTAGGATTCTACTGCTAGTACAAAATCTCATCTTCCCTTACACACAACATAAAAGGAAACAGTAAGATGTAACCATTCCATAATTTATGACAGAATATGCAGATCAGAAATAAATCAGAAAATGCATTCTTTTTTATTCCCGTGTTTAAAATAAAGTTAGGCAAAGTTCATATTTATTTAGCAAACCTTTGTTTTTCTGAAAATGAGTTATTACTGATCAAAGATATCTTTCGAAAGCTTTCTTGGTCAGGATTAGGACGTCACCATATAAGATTATACGTCGAAATGATAAATTATTATACAGATTTTAAAGAGAGATTAATTATTAATATGAAAAGTAGATTGATTTATTAATTTTGAAGAGAGTTTATCAACTACACATGCAGAGCATTTTTGTTGATTTTACTAACGCCCTTATGTGAATAGTTCTTTAGAATACCAATTCTGTTAAGTCTTCTTATTTCTATATTCGTATCTATATACATATTTTCAATTGATTTTCGTACTATTGCAGGTGTTACTATCATTAAAATGCTCTTTTAACTTTTATATTCCGTAGTTTGTAAATACTCTGCATCAGTTCTGATATCTTCATAACTTATCATTCTCTCGTTTTCCATTTTCTAAAACGGTTCCATCTACGAACTGGTAAATGCTCCTCTCTTTGTTTACGATGATTCTTTTTACTCTCCCAGCCTGAAGAATGTGATCTGTTTATATTTCAATGCCACGTAAACATTTTTGTTGTTCTTATCCTAATTTTCTGCCTCGTCATGATTTCCAAACAATTTCTACTTCTTTCTATTATATTTTTTTACATCGCCTGGTCTAATTTGCTAATTTCATTAATTACATCATTGTTTTCGCAGAGAAGACATTTATTATCTTGTTGCGTCATGATTATATATAGGAGTTTATGTATTGATTTCGCCATGAAGTTATATTTCTTCTCGTGTTTACATTCTGTTTTATTTAGTTTTTAAGATCCAGTTTTTTTTATTGAAATTTTTACTTTTTGTTCCAATTACTGGTTTTCGTGAATAATCTCTAATTCCCTTTGTGCGTTCAGTGATCCATGGCAGCAAAAGTTTTCGTTCTCAAGTGGCTTCATCGTTTCTTTCTCTTACCGTAGAATATATCATGAAGAGTGTTTATAGTCTTTCTGCAGGGAAACTTATTAATATATAGTAAATGCGAAACTGATATCCGAAAGCGTATTGTGATGGCGAAAGATACCTTTCAAAAATTAAATTAATTATTAAGAAACATAAAAATATTACTAGAAACAAAGAAAAGAGTACTGAACTGTTTCGTGATATTTGTCCTTCTATATTGCATTCCATGACGGACAATCTCCTCACAGATGTGTAAGAGATTGGAACCAAAGAAATGAGGTTCTATAGAAGGATGCTGAAAATACTATGGACCGAACATGTGAACTACGACAAAAATCTAGATAAAGTGGAAACAAAAAGTACATTTATACTTAAGAGAGAGTTGAATTTTCTAGGACACATAATGAGGCTAAATATTTTCATGCTAACTGTTCTGGTGAATATTCCTCCATGGTATCCAGACTCCATAATTTTAAGCGAAGTTCTCCGGACATGTGACAACGACAAGTTCTGGAGACAATAGCAACTAAAAGGTCAATTAGTGTTAACATCAGGAAGAGACAGCGCGAAATTTATGGGGGTACATAATGAGGAAAGAGGGCTTGGAAAGTGTGATGCCCACAAGACAGATTGAATGTAAAAAGAACGGAAGAAAACAATGCATAACCTACCTGGCGAGTTTCAGTGCAAGGATGCCGATGCTTAGTTTGGGAGAGACAGCATTAGACAAAATTTATTAAGAGCTACAAACGACAGGAAATCGTGGTGAGCCATGATCGCCAACGCTTTGAACATAGAAGTTCTCGGTTCTGCAATTTTCAGTTCATTTCTGTGTTTGAGAAAAGGCTTCAGAATACCGAGAATAGATTCTTAAATATGCTCTACGTAGATAGAATTTTCTGCTGTTTTATCACATCTCCCATATCGTAGAATTTTCTTGCCTTTTCTCTTTCAGTTCCTCTTCTTTTACTTATTTTGATTCCAATCGTCCACCTTATGTCTATTGATCTCCAATCCTTCAATCGCAAGCATCAAATTTAAATAACGTCGAAGACTTGTATCACTAAAATATTATTATCCCACCCCCGCAAAAAAAACCAAAAAAAAAACCAAATCGTGCTATCTAAAAATATTTTCTGGGTTTGAATAACCTGTAAAAAGGTGTTAAGTCGCAGAAAACGAATCAATCAATCTTTTAGAGATTACCGGATGCAAAGCACAACAGAGGAGGCAGGCGGCTTGTATCACGTTGGAACATCGGCTCTCATACGATCACCGATATTAAGCCACGTCGAGCCATGCCAGTATCGAGATGTGTGACCGCTTAGAAATACCTACTACTGTAAGCTAGGATGTGCGTGTGGTCTGATGAATAACACCTATGAATTGTTAACTGCAGAACCGGGTTCCAATTCCAGTCTGGAATCATTGTATTCACTTAGCGGGAACGGTATGAATTCACCGCTCCCTCATCTATGTGTTAATTAGTAGGACGTGTATCTGTAAATCATTATTATCTCAAAAATATTCTCATAATCTAAAAATATTTTCAGGTTTTCAGTAATCTGCAAACGGTTAATAATCCGCGTATAAATCAATGCATGCAAGCAATCAAGCACGACAAAAGAAGGCCCAAAAACATATCGATAATAATAGCCAAAAATATAACAAAATTGAGCCAGTTATTATGAACATTTCTGCTGAAATGCGTTTTTGAAAAACTCAGTGATGAACATTAAAATCTTCTCCAGGAATGTCTCGATTAATGCGGCTAATGTGCCCATTAAAAATTACACTAATCGAAAAAGCATTAATCGAATATTATCTATCTATCTATCTATCTATCTATCTACTATTTATATGTGTCTGTCGTGGGCGTTCTTACGTCGCCCAGGCCGCATTTCTCACCCGATTTCGATGCGATTTTCACCACAAGTTTACAAATAGCTGCCGTAAGGACATGACGGAGCCCGATTTTTTTGTTCGGACTCGTGTTCTGAAAAAATCGATAATCGATAAAATCTGTTACAGAAGGAATGATCGCATTTCAACCAAATTTGACACCCTCTTAGAGTTTAACATCAGAAGTGTTGTCCAGAAATTTCATGGCCACGGACCCCCAAACAGCGCGGAAAATCGATAAAATCCAAAAACCGATACGCCCTGAGTGCACCTGAACTGCATGTCGGTTTTTAGCGGATATCGACCGGATTTATGAGGAGGACATTGGGAGTCACCATATGAAGTTTCAACCCTGAGCGCCCCGCAAACAGACTGCAAATCGACAATCGGTCAACCCTTGAAAATGTTTTTCCGGTTGGGTATTTCCTAAATGCAGATTAATTTAAGGTCACGTTATGCGCGGCAAGAAACATGTCAGTCCGTACAGTGGAGTGGAAGAAAACATTTGACCTCAAATTATGGAATTGGTGCAGGGCCATTGAAATTCTGCTTTTTTATCCCTCCTGCCAGGTCTGACTTTGAGCCACAAATGACATATTCGACTTTATCAACACTTTTGCTTTAATTGTCGCATCTTACCAAAATAAGCACTTCCTTTATTCGCGTTTTTACTGAAAAAAAAAACGCATACGTGGTGAGTGAAAATGGTTCCGCCCTTAGCAGTCCATTTTTCAATTCTTTAAACATTTTCCCCGAGCCCAGGCCGCTTCCCAGACCTGACGAGGAGTTTTTTGCGCTAAAACAGCAGGGCTTCCTCCCAATCCATTTCAAAGCTAATGCCGGCAAATGGTTAGCGGCTTTTCGTTGTCGCACAAATCAAACGAGCAAACGCTTCATTGCAGCTCCTTGCATTCTCATCGCCGGCATCATTTTTGTTACGAACGTTTTTCGCGTCCAGGAAGGAAATTGATCCTGTGTCCTGCCTGGTGGATGCAAGAATCGCATCGTAAGTGGCCCTTTGGCCTATGAGAAGTTTTGGCTCATTTGCTGTGACATAAGCACAATCTCAGGTGAGAGACTGGAGGAAGCCACACGATCTGGCGTTGGAAGCGCAAAAGCGGCGAGAGACACACCCCTCATTTCAACCAACATGTTCTCAATGATTATAAGCGCCCTGTTGTGAATTTCATCGTTGAATGTAAGACCCATTGTTGGACATAGCAGTTGCGTTTCTCTGAGTATGTCTTCGGACAAAAAGTCCTTGTATTTGTCCCAAAGTGATTTGAGATCACTGGGTTCTCACATAGTAAGATTGTGGTGAAGAGGTGGCGCAAAGCAGAGAGCATTTTTAAAAGAGCTCCCTCAGCCATTGTGGCATCCCACTGGCTGTCGTCTTCCAAAAGGCCGAGACGGAGACAGGCCTCACGAAAAGTGTCACATAAAACTCCATTAACCGTCCGTAAGTTATTGTAGCTTGTTGCACCACTAACTTCGTCAAAAAGAGTCGCAAGTAAAAACATTCCTGTCCTGATGGGGGAACCGTGATAACCCTTCGGAGTGTGGCGTCTTTTTTGACGCCTGGATAGCCCTCGACGTTGGCCCCGCACTTCCGCCGAGCCCAGGTGTTCTTTTTTGTCCACACGTAGTTTGAAGACACATATGTGTACAGTAGGTCGATTGCCATGGCATAAGTTCTTTAGCAATTGCGTACCATTTTGTGTTACACGTGGAAGTTATGAAAAGGTCTGGTCGGCCGTAATTACGAACGTATATCATCGCATCTTGTGTCCTCGCGTGAATGTATCGTGTACTTCCCGTGGACGTTGCAGAAATATGCACATTTTGCCTATATTGGGTGGATCATCGTCATTTCGTAAATCATCACGGAGGTGAATGTAAGAGTCGCAGCGCAACTTGGTCTGATTCAATCTGATGCAACAGAGTCTCTAGGATTCCATCTTAGCAGCCATGTCTACTATGGAAAAGTTGCCGGCTTCGATGAAGATGATTGAATGCACCCTCATGTACCATCAATAGGTAGGCGTAGAAAGCCCTGCAAGACACTGTTTTTTGCAGAATGCCAAAGTGGTACCCATTTTCTCCGTAAGTGAAGAGTAGTGGGTATTGCTGTTCATCGTAGGACCGGTGCGTTTCACTGATTCTTCGGAGCCCACTGCCGCGCGATTCGATAACAATGTCACGTCTGTTGTGCTGATCACCGCTGACAATGACGGAAACTTCGTTACTTGCGGGAGTATTGTAACGACGTTCGTGCTCTCCCTGAGGTTGTTTGTCAGCATCAATTACAATAATGAAGTCAGAAGAAGTGTTATTTTCGAGAGCATACTTAAAACTGCGGACATAGCTGTTTGTCTCGTAGAGCATTTGTTGGAGACTCATTATGATATCCCTGCGAGGATGATTCTCCTGGCCTGTATCGTTCTCGGGAATAATGCCCATGCGGGTATCTGCCAGTTGATTGTAGTCAGCTATAATGTATATTTGTAGAAAGGCCGAATCAGTGGCATTTTCCAGCAAAAGAGACCCAATCCGGTGGTAAACCTGAACTTGAAACAGAAAGGTGGGATTTCAACCGACTTCGCGGAAGGCATTAACACCAAAAGAGGTCATCTGGAAGGCACAATTGTACTGTCTGATTTTTGCGAGGAAATGTTTAGAGTCTGGACTGGAACCCACCAACAGAGCTTTCGACGGAGCAGGTAATGAAGAAACTGAAGAACATGAAATTGAAATAATTTCTGTCTTTTGAAACAGCAACCTATTGCATCTGTACTTTACCGTCTGAACAACACAAATCTGCAGACTCTCCAGGACATTTTTTGGCATTGCAATGCCCACAGACAACTGACATAGATCCTATTTGGAGGTCTTTGCGACACAAAAGCCTCAATTCTGGCTCATAGTTGAACGCCAGCTTAAACCAAAACTGCTTTGGTGGGCTGCAGAGCCCTCGCTGTGCATGGCGGCGCTGGTTAACAGTCTGCAACCTTTCAAGCCTTTTCGTAGGTCCTTCTACAGCTCTATCAGCGGAAGTTGAAATTGCATCGCGTTGCCGCCCTGTGCGCGGTACCTTTCGACACACTTTCAGCAGAAGCTGCAGCGGCGTCGGCTGCATGGCGTGCGGTCTTCTCAGCCATGGATTCCCGGCACCGTCGAATGGACGTTGCCGCAGCCTTCGCTGCGTTACGTGCTGTTTTCTCAGCCGTGGTCTCCTGGGACTGTCGAATGGTAGTTGCAGCAGCGTAGTAAACGCAGTACACTTCAACTTACAGTGAAAACTGTAACGTGGAGGTAAAATAGGTTGGGCAAACGATTGAATAAATAAGTAAATTGAGTAAATAACATGCGACAGCAGTTAACTCTCTAATAACAAAACTGAACTACGAAAAGGTAGAAATAGGTATGGAACGCTAAGATGGACTGGGCTGCGCAGTAGAGGCAGCACGCTGAGATAAAATGGGTAATGCAAACGTTTAAGCAATTAGATAACTTGCGGTAGCAGGAAGCTTTCAATTAATCCAAGAACAGATGCGTTAATGGCAATCAAATCAAGACGTGAGTGCGGATGCAGCCGCGCTGAAGGTATTTAAAGGGAGCGTGACTTGTCATTGATTGGTGTGGCCTGGACAATGGCCACGACTAAGACCAATGAATGAGCTCATGGAAAATGGAAGATGCTAGCGTGCATTCACGCACACGTGCATGATTTGGCAAACGCAAGGCTTGGCCGTAAACGATGTCAAGCTGCCTGATTTAACGCACGTGATGTCGGCGATGAGAATGCAAGGAGCTGCAATGAAGCGTTTGCACGTTTGGTTTGTGCGACAACGAAAAGCCGCTAACCGTTTGCCGACATTCGCTTTGAAATGGATTGGGAGGAAGCCCTGCTGTTTTAGCGCGAAAACTCCTCCTGAAGTCTGGGATGCGGCCTGGGCTAGGGAAAAAGGTTTAAAGAATTGGAAAATGGACTGCTGAGGGCGGAACCATTTTCACTCAGCACGTATGCGGGTTTTTTTCAGTAAAGACGCGAATAAAGGAAGTGCTTTTTTCGATAAAAAGCGACGATTAAAGCAAAAGTTTTGACAAAACCGAATATGTCATTTGTGGCTCAAAGTCAGACCTTGTAGCAAGGATAAAAAAGCAGAATTTCAATGGTCCTGCACCCATTCCAGAATTTGACGTTAAATCTTTTCTTCCACTCCACTGTACGGACTGACATGTTTCTTGCTGCGCATAGCGTGACCTTAAATTAATCTGCATTTAGAAAATACCCAACCGGAAAAACATTTTTAAGGGTTGACCAATTGTCAATTAGCACTCTTTTTTTGGGGGGGGACGCTCAGAATTGAAACTTCACATGGTGATTCTCAATGGCCTCCTCATAAATCCGGTCGGTTTTCGCTAAAATCCGACATGCGTTTCAGGCCCAATCTGGGCGTATCGGTTTTTGGGTTTTATCGATTTTCCGCGCTGTTTAGGGGTCCGTGGTCATGAAACTTCTGGACAACACTTCTGATGTTAAACTCTAAGAGGGTGTCAAATTTGGTTGAAATGCGATCATTCCTTCTGTAAGCAGATTTTTTTCGATTATCGATTTTTTCGGAACCTGTGTCCGAACTCTAAAATTGGGCTCCGTCATGTCCTTACAGTAGCCATTTGCAAAGTTGTGGTGAGCACCGCATCGAAATCGGGTTAGAAATGCGACCTGGGCGAGGTAACAACGCCCACGACAGACACTCAGACAGACAACATGAGAAATATAGATAGTAGATTTTCTCCTATGTAGCACGGAATACTGTAAAATATCTTCACATATGGAGGTGAAATTTCAAGCAACAGAGATATATTTCTACGGAAAGATAAGAATCTCAAGTAGAGAGCATGTGAGTAATGAGGAAGTTTTAAGGAAACTTGAAAAAATCACTTATGCTTACATGTTGCTATTTCTGCAACACATGATGAGGAAGCTTCTTTCTGCCTGTACTATAAATGCTTCCATGATAACTCTTCTGTTGAGCTTTCCCCCATGATTCCTAGACTCTATGAATTTAAGCGCAGATGTGGCCATGACGATGTTCTAGAGACAATGGCAACAAAAACGTCACTTAAACTTAAACATCAGGAAGAGACACTTGAAATTTCTGGAGTAGTATTGAATAAGTAGAGCTTACAAAATTTGATACTAGCAGGGCAGTTTGACGGTAAGAGATCAAGAAAACAACGCTTAACCTGGCGAGCTTGAGCTAATGTATGGCGGATCAGGGTTCGGGAGAGATGGCAAGAAATTATTAAGGGCTACAAAGTACAGGGAATTGTGGAGAGCCATGATCGCAAACATACCGAATTTTCACGGCAAATGCTTGAAGGGACACAGCACATAAAATAAAAATAAAAATAGCTGTAGAAATACCAGAATGTCTTCATTATTTTTTCTCGGGGCGTTAGTGCAGTGCAAATCATGTGAGATAGAAACCTACTGATAATATTTTATGACAAAGTAAACCTGGCAGCTGCTCTTCAAAAGTGGTTAACTGTGGCAGGAAATGGTTGTATATTTTAACGCTCCCTATAACAAAACTGCTTTTATTTAATCCCTATAGAGAACTTGCCTGCCATCAGAATCGCTGATGCTAGACTTCTGGAGAGCTGACACACTGCGCCTTGATCTCACATTTGAAACTGACTTGAAGTGGAATAAATACATCGAATCAATAATGAATTACTACAAAAATGTTGGGTCACTGTGTCGTGCGACAATTTTTTTCTAGTCATAATCCATCTTATACATTTACAAATCTATCATTCGTCCAAGCATTGAATTCTGTTGCTATATCTGGTCTGGTGTTCCTGCTGTACATCTCGAGATTCTTGACAAAATCCAAAGAATCATCTGCAATGTAATCGATCCTGACCTGGTACCTCGACTTCAGTCATTTTTTTTCAGTAGCTTCCCTCTATCTTTTCTACAAATATTTTTATGGCAACTGGTCTCTGGAGATTTTTCCTCTGGCTCGCCGACTACATGAATTTAAGTATGTTACTAGATTGGTAATTAGGTCCCAAATGTTTACTGTTGAAGTAGCTAAATGCAACCGACACTACTACACCAACATATTCTTTTCTAGCACTTCCCGCCTGTGAAGCTCCCTTCTACGCACTCACGCACGCACCCCATATATATATATATATATATATATATATATATATATATATATATATCATAATTTTTTTAGTATATACAAAAACAATTTACACACTACAATGATGCAACATTGTTTCGGTGTATTTCAATTGGTGAGAACCAAAAATGTTTATGTACAATTCTGCTTGTAAGCAAGCCGTATGTGAAACGTCACTTCTTTTTTTCCATTTATTTGAGAAAAATATACACAAAGCAAAAAAGGTGACGGAGTGAAACAATAGTTCTTGTTGAATGATGGGTGAAGTGTTAAAGTGATGGCGAAACTGGAAAAATTCCTTGTCGATAACAACATTCAAAAGTTTAGACACGGCATTTCCAACCCTTCTAAAAGTGAGAGGTGGGAGAGGAAAATTAGGAATAGGAGATAGTAATAAGATAAAAGAGTTAGGAGGGATAAATTCAAACAATAGTTATAGTAGTAATTGGGAATGTTGTTTTTTTTTTTGTGGAGGGGTTCTTTATTTAACCTTGTGTGTGAGTCGCAAAAGACATTTCAGTCCTGACAGTGAGTAAGGAGCCAGGCAAACCTAAACCTACCTAGGTTTCAACTAAATGGATCGTGAGGATAATGCCGGCTGAAAAGGGAGAATATGGAATAGAATTTATATCCCAAACCAAAAATAACCATGACCACGTGACAAACAAAATAAATAAGTAAATAAATAAAAGCGAATAACGCGAGAATGAACTTTATTGAATCACAAAAGACAAAACAAGATTCTTTGAACTTGAAGCTTGAACACTGGACGATTGTTTTAGCCTTTGTTTAATGTTCCTGGTTCTTTCTTTTTTTATTCCCCATTTTTCCTCGGTACGGATTTGCTCTACTGCAATTTGAGCTATCCGAGGTCTTTCCAAAGGAGTACCACCATATATATATATATATATATATATATATATATAGTTAAACTTAGAGAGCCAGACAAACCTACCAAGGCTTCACCTAAGCGGATCGTCAGGGAATATATATATATATATATATATACAGTCTCGACCATCAGTTAGTCAAGTTTCTCTCATGGGTCATATCTTAGTTCCTTTGCCTCAAAATACAAAGAAATTTTGTGTTTTTAGATCAGCTTCCAATTAGTGTCGCTATCATTTGTCACCATATGTTTCTTATATATAATGGGAAAGAGAGAGTGAAATAATACTTATGTTTTGAAAGTTTTTTTTTTTTTTTCAAAAAACTTTAATTTAAAGTTTTATTTACGCTCAACGACAAAAAATTATGTTACATTCATCCATACCAAAACAAAATAAAATACCGAGAACTGTCTGATTTAATTATTCCAATACATTGATATTTTACATGAGGGTCAAACCAAATGAAATGGAGACGTTGAAAAGCATATACGCATGTGGTTGGCAGAATGTTCACCTACTACAGAAGAAACAATATAAGCTGAAATAAGTTAAGACAACGGCGAACGCAATATCTGATAAGAATTTTTTTAACATTATTAACAGCGCAGTTTTTTAACTTTATTAACTACGTAGTTTTGCAATGTTATTACAGGTAAATCATCCAAACGTTTATACAACTATCTTGAAATACAAGGAGATAAACTAGAACTTGGGAAATTAAATGCAACTTGCGATTCAAAGAAGTAGATAAAATGCATAATACGAATTCTTATTTCACTACAAAGCTTTAGAGTTATTTCTTCCGAATACTTTCCTCACATGGCAGCTCAGGAAAAAAAAACGATAGCGTGAGAAAATTAAGGAATACACTTCTGACAGCAAAGCAGACAACCAAGTTGCCTTAGCAACGGCCATTTAATTCTATTTATTGGCATTGGTCGTATTGTTCCCGGTTGAGCTATCAACTTTTGACAGTTGCAAACATTAAAAAGGCGGTTGAAAATGTCTTTATAACCCTCTGGAGAATTTGTGTCGTGAGCTTTGAGGTCCATCGACTAATTTTCATGATATGCGATAAAAGTTAAAATCTCTCTCCCTTCCATTTCTTTCATTTCAATATTCTTTAATATTCTATGCGAAAGACTATCATCAAAATCAGCATTATCATTTCTGTTATTATCGCCAGCGCAAAGAGATGGTTTAATAGATATAAGGCCGGGGAAATATCACTAGCACGAGTTGTTGGGACCAGTTGGGACTAATTAAATCACATTCACAAAAATACATTTGTAAAAATTATGAATAAAAGGTTCTTAGCCACTTAGCATACAAGCATTTAGCAAAAGGAAATTCCACTGTCAGACGTTTAACCGAACGATCAAATGACCAAACAGAACAATTTGGGTTAAGAATTGATCAACTAAGAAACGTTTGTATGTAAATGCATTTTTCTTAAATATTTTTTGCTTTCTTCCAATATAACTTTTATTGCTTTCTGAATGAGTTTGATTTTACAAAAAACGTAAGTGTTATCGTGAAGTCGATTCTAAAGTGGGTGGGTGGGGAGTTTATAATAAAAGAATAATGCCAAATTATATACTCTGACATGTGCCGATGTTCAGTTTAATGTGTGTATTGATTGTAAAATTTCACCCTGATTTTGTGTCCGCTTTACTCATCTATGGGTTAAATAGTAGATTTGAGAAAAATATCTAGCCTTAGATGAGAGGCAATATAGGAGAATAAAATCTCTTAATTCAAAGACCTGGAAAAAAACAATGGGAAACGACTTCATTATTTTCCCAAGAATCCATGACAATTCAAAAATAAAGAAAAGGAATTGACTCGTGTTCACCTAATACAAGGCTGAATAACTACTCAATGTAGAGGCTTTTTTTTTAATTTCACTCTCTAGGTATTAAAGCTACTAAGACACAAGGTGTTACTGAGTGTGAAAACATAGGAAAAAAGGTCAACTTTATTAAGGAGCAAGAACAATAAAAAAGAGGAATCAGGAAGACAGTAGATAATGAATAACATTGCATTTAAATTTTTGAAAAGGTTAATGGTATGAAAGTAAGGGTTAGGGAAATTAGGGAATGAAAATTATGTGGATATAGAAGAGAGATAATGAGTAAGCCTAGACTTGAATACGTTACTATTGAAGTGTTCATGGAAATGTCCACGCGGGAGTAAGTTTCAGAAAAGAGTTTTGCGTCAATATAGTTGTGAAAGAAAAGTGAAATGCATTAGAAATGTAATGTATGAAAAGGGCCAAAACCTTCCAAATAAGAAGTAAAAAGACGAAATATCTACTTAAAATAAAGTCGATACATATATCGTATTTAATAATATTTTATAAAAGTGATGCAGAATATTAAGATACACATTCTCAACAATAGTTGCGAAAACGTGCACAAAATCAGGGTCTGGTTTTACATTCTATTTCCATGTTAATTTAATAATGGGTGGTCAACTTCATTTATCCCAGTAACTGAAAATATTCTGATAGAAATTAATGTCATTTTCAGTTAAGACAAATAAAATCCTCTTAACCCAAATCTTAGCCAAAATTTGCTGTTCCGTTTGATGTTTATATAAAACATAAACGTAAGAAGCACAGTGTTCAGCAGACAATCGGAATGATCTACCCAACGGTTTACTCAAAACTAACAAAAGAGAAGTCTAACAAGAATCAGGAATGTTACTGAATCAACCGAAAAATAAGTTTCTTTTCTAATGTTATGTTCCTTCTGGAGGTACGAGGTTATGTCTCTCCGCAACTTCTTTTTCTTTAATATGCGTGAATAGCTGACTTCTTTAGAAAGTTAAAATCTTCATTAAGATTTTGAATTCAGTATATTTACCTACCATACACGTACATATGAATTAAAACAAAAATTTTCCAATCTCCACGACCAATGTCACGCTGACGTCGGTATACCACCAATCATCTCTATTTAGTGAAATAGTGGAGGTACTGCAACAGGGTTGGAATCTCCGGCATCAGGCATCTACCAAAGTACTTTTCGTGAACTGTCCGAAGAGGTGAAGAACAGATATTACGCTTGGTATTTACCTGACAACCCTCACTAAGACCTGATGTGATACATTTTCGATTTTACATGAGAACCACATATACATACGTGTGCGTGTGAGGGAAGGAAAAATATTCCCAGTCCCAGCGATCAATGTCACGGTGAAGTTGATATTATATCAGTCCCACCTCACTTGATTTAAATGAGGAAAGTCTTGACGCAGAAATGGAATCCTCGGGGCCGGATGCCTTCTCCCATCTCAAATGAGATGCACAGTCCTTGCAACCAACGCCGCTCTGGCGTCGACATTCTAGCGACCACACCGTTTTTTGTGCAATGAGAGATATGTATCCCCGGGACCAGACATCCTCCTTCATTTATTTACTGCGCTCTGTCAGAAGACAGAAACACAACTGATGGATAAAACGCAATTGACAGATGCTACACTTGATATTTACTCGTTCCTCCATGGTGACAGTATATGGCACAAGGCCGGTTTAAAGTGGGGGACCCAAATGCATGCACCTGGGTTATGGAGAGAACTTGCCCAGTCCCAGCAACCAATATCGCACCGGCATCTATATTCCACCGCTTTCCCTCTTTGGTAGAGTTGCTGTCACAGGTTTGGAATCCCCGGGACCAATATCCCACATTTATTTGTTGTCTTCTGTCCGAACACAAAAGCACAGCTGAGAGATAAAATGTAGTTTATCGGGCCGAAGGTAGATACTACACTTGGTATTTACTCATCCCCGACAATGGCGGGATATGATTTGTCTGACTGTTGGTAATTGACAGATACTACACATTGACCCTCGCCTGAAGGTTTTAATGATGTCAACATTAATCAGCATTAATTGTTCAGAGATTTATCACGAGCCATAGCAAAGGTTATGCTATCCTTATTATTCAGGAATTCTCAAATCATACAAACAAAGTAATTAAGTCAGAATAGAGGGAACAAAATGCTTCAACCCAGAGAATTCAAGATTTTAATAAAATAGATAGAATTCATAGTAACTATAATATTATTTGTGTGTGAAAACTAAGTTCAGACTACCAGTATTGCTGTCATCTATCCTCGGCTGACATTTTACTAAGAAGTATAATAGGCGTTTTTGCCTTGGTACTGGAGACCTGCCTTTCTAGAAAACACCTCAACTTTTCACCGAACGATGATAGTCAGGATATTCTCTGATATTGACATATTTACTAAGAGGCTCAAGTGTGTTTGTTATTGCTTTACACACACACACACACACACACACACACACACATACATATATATATATATATAAAAATATATACATATATATATATATATATATGTATATTTCTGTTTGTTTTTACAAATTCCACCTCAAGAGAGCTTTTATGTTGTGATGTTATCGACAATGTATAAATTTCGATTTAGATAATAAGCCACCTTAAACAATATTTGTAACAGCAATCAAAAGGAATTAACTAGCAAAAAAAGTTTCATTTATTGTTTACTAAAAATTTTATTTTTTCGACAATTTCATTTCACTAGAAGTTTTTTTGTGGTAATTCCAGGGTTATGGAGCAAATTGAATGCGAATTGACACAGTACCAGTTGAGATACTGATGAAGATGATAATATATCAATTAAATTGGATGTTCATCAGAAGTAAATCCAGGTAAAAGTTAATTTTGAAAGGATCTCAAGATTCATTGACAAAATTTAAGGAAGGTTCTGTAATGTAATCGAACCTGACCAGGCACCTCAACTTCAGTAAATTTCTCACCGACGTCATGTTGTTTTCCTCTGTCTATTCTATAAATGTTTTATGGCAACTGCTCTCATATGCTTTTTTTTACTCTGGTTGCTAGGCTACATGAATTTAAGCGTGCTACGAGATCGGTAACTAATTTTCACCGTTTTTCAGTTGAACTAGCTACATGCAACCGCCACTTATACTCTAATAGCTTTTTCCTCGCATATTTCCCACCTATGGAAATCCCTTCCGATTTATTGCATCCCTGACAATCTTTAAAATTTTAAATGCAACGTCAATCGTATCGGCACCCCCCTCCTACCGTCATCGTTTGCCTCAAACCTTTTTTCTTTCTCCTCCCTTCATCGTCGTTGCTACCCTGTGCGCAACGACCCAACACTTTCGCTGCTGAGGCACGTAACCGTTTTGAAACGAACATCCATTCAAAGTTCTTTGGACGGTTGGCATTTTTCCACCAGTCAAACGGCCACGTGACTCATCAGATAACCGGCAGAAAGTATCCACGAATAACAGACGACCTGCGGGCATCGTATCGAGAAGACGTCTTTTTACATTTCGCTCTGCACATTCAGACTTCGGCAATAGACCTTTTCTCATAGTCAATTCGTTTGCCGAATCTACCTTCCATCAGTGTAGACCCGGTCTAAGCCCAACTTTCTGACCTAACCTCCTGTCCAGAGCAACAAGCATTTTCGTCATAAACCTCAGTATCGAACGGACCCGCCTAAACAAGTAAGTCAGATATCCACAAGCTTTCACACGTGGTACCTATACTTTCTAGATCTCTCCCACTTTTTTGGGAGGGTCTATACTTCTTACAGGTAACGAACGCTTTTGCAGCTCAGTAATCTTAGTGATATTCCTCGGTCGAAATCGCACTACCGACCGAACTAGTTCTGTCATGAAGTTTCCTCTGATCTTTCCTTTTCTACACAAAAAAGGACATTCTTAGATAAAGTTGCCTCACTTATATTGTTTATTCCAAAAAAAAAAAAAATAAGGGAAGGAAACCTTCCATATAACCTTTCTCCACGTTTCGGGCCTTTTCTTCACCAAGGACACTTGGCGCCAACATTACTACGTTTTTTGGCGAGCAACAGCATCCAACCATTAATGTCAGCCTCACTTTGAGCTGATTTGTTTGAACTGCCCTTTCCAGAGACCAAGAATTCTGCTTTACATTCCTCTCCGCTACTGCACCCTGCCAAATTTATTTGTAAAGAAAAAAGTAAATTTACATCTTGTTATGCCTGTTCTTAGCTAATGGTGTTTGTCTATTTTTTATATTGCTAACTTGGCATGAACCACTGATGTTCTAAGGGAATAACAAAATACTCTTATACGGAGAAATTTGGTAGTCTGACACAAGGCCATTCGCAAGAAACCGCACTTTAGGCAACCAGGCTCCTCCTATAATCGTTATCTTCTATCTTCTAGAACCCTGTTTTTTTTTTATTTTGTCAATCCTCCCGATTCTCACTTCTCGTTCTCTTTCACTTTCAATTGATGCGTTCTAGGGACATTATCGCCTTGTTTGGGAAGAACAAAAATGAAAACATGTTTACCTCCGTCTCCACCGCAATGAAATGTAATCTGATTTCTTGTTCAAAATATGTGCTCATAAAACCGACATTAATATATTCACATTTAACAAGCTTCTAAAATTGCCAATCTCTATGCTCCCCATTTTAAAAGTTCGTGAGCTTTTAAACGTCGATCTCTGCAATTATATACACTGTATTTGACAGTGAGTAAGATGCCATTTTGGTATAGATCATTTTGATACAACGGCTCATCGCATCTGATCTAAATCGATCTGGTAGGATGCCAGAGCATTTGGACGCCCTCTAATATTCAGATATTTTTTATAAGACAGTTGTACCCAGATATAAAATGATAGTGTCCTAATAGTTCTGGAACAGATTCTATTTCTTCCTTCCAAATAGCGCTGTTTCTGTTGGAATGCTCAATTCTCTCCTGCTCAAAATTGTTACAGCGTTCTCAAATCAACCTTATCCAGACAGATCTTTCTACATTAATATCTTTCTAGTTTTCTACATTAATGCCAAGAGTCTTTAGGTTACGTTTAACTATGTATCGGAATAAGATTGCTGAAAAAATGAGCATAGCATGATAAAAACGGCCTTAAACTTGAGGAAAATATTTTTTATTGTCTAAATATTTATGTTGTTATTAAGAAGAAAGACCAAAGTATTTTACATTATTTTTTTTACAATTTTTATTCATTCCTAGCACGTCTGAAATTATTGTTTGAAATCATGTTTTTTTTGTTTTTTTTTTTTTTTTTTTAGTTCGGAAAATTGATACAAATCAATCGTCAGTCATTTTTTTCAATTTTGTAAACAGAAGTTATTTTTTAAAATACTGTCAAAAATCAATTATACTTTTTTAAAAATTTGTTTTAACAAAATCAGCATTTTATTTAATATATTTTTAAAGAAAAATTAATTATTTATGCGCCGAAAAATGTACTTTAAAACAAGAGATAGCAGGTCTTAACAGCGGCGACGTGTGACTATGTAATTAGTGATGTTTTCAGCACATATTGACAGCTTACGTAAGGAAAGGTTATCGTACGGAAGGACAGAAGTGACATCATTCAGCTTTTTATTGAACCAACTAATTTACCTCGTTATTTTTAAGGAAAAAATTCAGCGCTCTATTTTTTTTTTTTTTTTGTTTCTTAAAACTTAGTTTTCCACCTTTAAGTTTACGATGCTTTATAAAATTTTTAAAACTAAGACTGTTGAGAGTGGGATAGAATTTCAAAAGAAAGGTACATGGAATTAGGTACTTTTCTTATGAAAGGTTAAGTGTGCATAAAATATAATTTAATATACATTTATTACATTTTTCGGTATTATTTGTATTTCCACTTATTAATTTTGATATTTCATTTATGGAAAAATATCATAACTAACTGAGATAATATAAAAATAAGGCCATATAAAATTCATAAGTTGGTAATACTTTGTAGGTACTCTTACCATTTTAAATATTATACATTTTTTTTTCTTTTCATTTTGCTTCCGGTCTTCCGTATATTTGAATTACAGCTGTTTTATGTATACAGAAAAAAACATGTTATATTAGATTTTTTATCAATTTGGAGTTTACAGATTGTAATGAAATTTATAATTTATAATCTGTAATGATATATATATATATATATATATATATATATATATATATATATATATATATATATATATATACATATATATATATATATATATATGCATGTATGTATGTATGTATGTATGTATCTATTTAATAATACCATCGATTGAACTGTACTCCATCAGACAATATTATCCACATTCATAAAAACAAGTAAAAGGAACTAAAAGCTTTATACATTAAATAATATCTTTGTTTTACTAAGTTTTGTAGGTTACAATTCAGAACTCATTTTCAGGTAAGTGGGGGTCAACTAAAAAAACAAAACATGATTTACTTTCCTTAAAGTCTTGTGTTTTCAACTAATTTATTACTAAAAATGTACACAATTGAATTTCAAGAGTTTTCATAAAATTAGTTAGGGGTGGAGTAATAAATATAAAAACAAATTACCATGACTTAAAAAAAATAAACATATTTATAACAATTTCAACCATTTGTCAATAGTTTTTAAAAGTTTCATTAAAATCCGACTATTATTTTTATTTTTGCAAGATTTTCAAATTAATGTCTGTCATAAAAAATGCACAAAAAATTTGCTGTTATTTACTAGCAGTTTCACTGATGAAGTGAAACAAGGTTTTTCAATCAGAAGTTAGAATTTTCTAATAAAGACTGAACAATTTTAAAAAATAATAGAAAAATTTACCTTGTTCTTTTCTCTTAAAAGTAACCTAAATATTTTGACGATAAAATTTATGTTTACGTTAAGTTTAGGGCCGTTATCATCATACTATGCTCATTTTCCAGCGATCTCACGCCAGTACCTACAATTACATCCTTGAAACGTTTCTTTGGCTTATGAGCGGGTCGATTACCTTGTACTAGCTCACCATAAACTTTTTTAGCAATCTGATGTCCCCCATACGTGTCAGATGACCTGTCCAGCACATTTGATTACATTAGTTGAAATTTTTACATATTAGATTTAGGAAAATTTTAGGAATCAAGATGACTCGAACGAATAGGAAGCCATGTATGTACAGGATCAAAGGAAATCTAGGTTACTTTACGTTACTTTAAGCCTTAAAGGAAAACATTTTGATATACGCTGTTTTTATCTTCTGATGACACTACGGCAGCGAATAGAATAAATTCCTCAGACATCAAGGAGCATTCAAGACTACAGTATTGCAGCGTCTTGTTAAATCCCTAATGTGAAATATAAATTGCATTTAAAAATTTACCGAAAACATCTGTTTTATAACTTAAGTTTTATTGAAGTGTATTTTTAAGAGATCCTCTTTAACAGTATTTTTTGTGTTTCACAGCCTGCGATTATAATTCCTTTTTTTAAATACATATACATATGAATAAATACACATGAACACATGTACGCATATATACTTGTACCCATATACAATAGGAACATAAATCACAAGAGTATTTCTTCCAAATTTATTTTTCTTAGGGTAATTTGAATTTGTGTTTATGTTGACACTTGAAAATAACTTCATAACTTTGGTTCAACTGTTGGCCAGTATTTTTGTAATTAATTATTAAGATTTTTCCCAATATGCATGGATTGCAACTATCTTGGAATTTGTTGGAAGTTTGAGACTGACAGATGATATCCCATTTCATCTGTGGGTTAAGTCGCTTAAAATGCTTAGAGAGAGCAGTTTGGTGCATTAAAAAAGCATCAGAGAAGGAATGAAATTCAGTGTATGTCATTGCGCCGAAGTGTAAACAACTTTGTCTTTTCATAGCTTTAAACATGTTGGATTTCATGCCAAAGAAAGTATATTTGCGGGTAATTTTACTGTATTATTTAATTCAAAATAAATCTGCAGCTGAAACACACAGAATTCTTGTTGAGTCTTACAGCGACAATGCTTTGTCGGAAACAACATGCAGAGATTAGTTTAGACACTTCAAAAATAATGATTGTGATGTTGAAGGTAAACATTGCGCTGGTGCACCGAAAAATGTTTGAAGACGAACAATTGGAGGCCTGACATGAAGACTTATGTCAGGTGCAAGCTTAACTTGCAGAATCATTAGGAGTTTATCACACAACAGTTTGGAAACGTTTAAAGGCATTAAGATTCATTCAAATGCAAGGAAATTGGGTGCCATAAGAGTTGAAGCCGAGAGACGTCGAACGGCGTTTTGTCACATGTGAACTGCTGTTTCAACCGCAGAAAAAAAAAGTTGTTTTTTTTTTGCATCGTATCGTGACCGGCGATGAAAAGTGAATTAACTAACACTAAGCGTAGAAGATCGTGGGTAAAGCCCGGTCATGCATTAATATCGGCAGCAAATTCGAATATCTATGGTTCGAAGCTTCTATTCTGGATTTGGTGGTATCAGCTAGATATAGTTTA